TGAGGATGGAACCTAAGCATAGACACTAAATTCATTTATGTTTCATATACACCTTGTAATTTTGTGCATGAACTAAAGTTTGTAAACATTGAACCATCAGAAAGCAAAGATGTTAGGCATAGAATTTTCCACTTGTGTTGTCATGTTGACAAAAAGTTTTGGATTTTGGAACATTTTGGAGTTCTGTTGATTTAGGGATGTTCAACCTGTATATTACTTCATTTCCTGTTTACCTGATTGTGTTTAAAATAGGACTGTTCTGAAAAAACAAGCAACAAATTGGGTAAATCAGCTTCAATGATTGTAGAGATTATGACTATTCAGTTGTTGTTGGGCTACATCTCTAGGCATTTGGGAAAATGTTAATTGATAATGAACCATGTTAAAAAGAATGGCTAATAGTAATTTGATCCCAGCTAGTATAAATTTAAAAATGTTTTCAGAAAAATATGCTGCTGTAGTATGATTAAACCTTGAGTTTGTTGCAATGTTTGTTACTACTGAAATTATAGGAAGGTAAGTCTTGGATCATTGTCTTTTATTCTGTTAAATTTGTATCGTTAATTAAACTTTTGAAAGTTGTGGGATAAATCAAATGCTTTTCTTTTTTTTTTTTTTTTTTTTTTTTTTTTTGAGACGGAGTCTCGCTCTGTCGCCCAGGCTGGAGTGCAGTGGCCGGATCTCAGCTCACTGCAAGCTCCGCCTCCCGGGTTCACGCCATTCTCCTGCCTCAGCCTCCCGAGTAGCTGGGACTACAGGCGCCCGCCACCTCGCCCGGCTAGTTTTTTGTAGTTTTAGTAGAGACGGGGTTTCACTGTGTTCACCAGGATGGTCTCGATCTCCTGACCTCGTGATCCACCCGTCTCGGCCTCCCAAAGTGCTGGGATTACAGGCTTGAGCCACTGCGCCCGGCCAATCAAATGCTTTTCTAGGGAAACAAGAAACAGTATTAATGAGCAACAACCCCATAATTATCCTTGTGAGTACATAACAGGGACACATTCATGTCTTTTCTTTGCGCAATAACTTTTACAAAGAAGTATTTTTAAACTGATCATTAATTTTATGACCACAGAAATGAGATGTAAAATTTATGCTATTGTCAGTGGCACAGGCTTACAGCACCACTGACATTGTGTGTGATTGTAATAGAATGGCTGCCAACTAATGATTCTGTAGACATTTCATTTGAGTGTGCTTTTCTTTTAGATGTGTGATTAGGCTGTAATGCTTTCACTTATGTCTGTAAATTGTATTGGATATGTTTACCTGATGCCTGTTGTTGATTTGGAGTTTAGTTTTGTATTACATAAGTGCAAGTTGAACTTTTTTTTTTTTTAATTTGTAGAAGTCTTTGCAGGTTTGACTACAAATACTCAGCCCTAGGGAGGAAAAATGCTTTGCACTACTCAACAGCGACCCCTGTGTTCAGTTAAAACTCCTTATAAGACAGCAGCTTTTACTCTTTATTGGGTTGAAAAAAAACTAGAGGGGAGGAAAAGGGATGGACCATCACTGGAACAATAGTAAAATGAAGAAGACCATCTTGAAAAATGATGTGTCCTTTCAACTATATGCAGGTTAAAAAGGGGCTATCCCTGTATATATAACGTATAGATTCTTTGCTTTCTGAGTTAATTCAAAGGATTATGGGGAGAAAAAAAATAAGGAAGAAATGAAGCCAGTAGCAGTACTTAGTTCATTTTATCTTAGGTAAATATAAACATCACACTGATTTTTTTTTTTTTAAATACTAGCAGTAAACTGCAATTCTTAGAATGGGTAAGTTGAAGACAATTTCATTTTAATATATCACCCCAAAGCATTTTATTTTTATTTTGATTTTTTGAGATGGAGTCTCACTCTGTTGCCCAGGCTGGAGTGCAGTGGCATAATCTTGGCCCACTGCAGTGGCACGATCTTGGCTCACTGCCTCCCGGATTCAAGCAGTTCTCCCTGCCTCAGCCTCCTGAGTAGCTGGGATTACGGGTGTCTGCCATCATGCCCGGCTAATTTTTGTATATTTAGTGGAGGCAAGTTTTGCCATGTTGGCCAGGCTGGTCTTGAACTCCTGAGCTCAAGTGATCCACCTGCCTTGGCCTCACACAGTCTTGGGATTACAGGCGAGAGCCACCACACCCAGCCTATTTTTTTAATAAAAACAAAACCATAACTTTCTATAAAAGTCAAAACCATGACTTTAATAAAAACCAATCCATGAAAGGCTAACAGGTCTTTCACCTTTTAGTGATCAATTTGTGTAGAATAAATACTCTGAACTCATATTAGATATTGTTGAGTTTATAGCTTTAGTAATGAACTTTTGATATGTATGTATATATTTATACATATTGAATAACGAATGGCGTTTGCATTTGTGTGTATGTATGTGTATATAAATGCGTATATACACATAGATACATACACATATTGATATTCTCAAAGGATAATAAACTACTTCTAATTTTAAAAACTAAGTTTTAATTTTTTCTGTTTACTTCCACACAAAATTTAATATAATTTAAGCCTGAACATCTGAATTTTTTTTCAAAATCTTTGCTATTATTATTTGGTTTTACTGTTCTTTTTAAATAGTCATAATAGCAAAATACACCACCTGCTAAGTGCTAGTGATGTTTTTGAAGTATCCTAATACGTTTTTTTGCAGCAAGATTTTTTGTGTGAGATAGGAAATATTCTTAGAAAATTCATACCACAAAAATTCTTAACTTCATTAAGAATGTAAAGATACCCTAACAACTAAGAGTAACTGAGAATTTCTTGATCCCTACTGCTACGTATTCCATGAACTGTCATAACATGATCAAAACATTTTTACTAGCACTTTATGAAGTTCCTTCCTACCTTATATTTGAATTCAGAGCACTCTTCTTTTGTTAAAAAAATTTTTTTTTAGAGATGGGGTCTTGGTCTGTTGCCCAGGTTGGAATGCAGTGGTGCAGTTATAGCTCACTGCAGCCTCAAACTCCTGGGCTCAAGCGGTCCTCTTACCTCAGCCTCTCACAAATGTGACTACAGGTACAGGCCACCACACCTGGCTAATTGTTTTTATTTTTATTTTTATTTGTTTTTGAGATGGAGTCTTGCTCTGTTGCCCAGGCTGGAGTGCAGTGGCGTGATCTCGGCTCACTGCAAGCTCCACCTCCCGGGTTCACGCCTTTCTCCTGCCTCAGCCTCCTGAGTAACTGGGACTACAGGCGCCTGCCACCACGCCTGGCTAATTTTTTGGTATTTTTAGTAGAGACTGGGTTTCACTGTGTTAGCCAGGATGTTCTTGATCTCCTGACCTTGTGATCTGCCCGCCTCGGCCTCCTACAGTGCTGGGTTTACAAGCGTGAGCCACCGCACCCGGCCAGTTTTTATTTTTATTTAGAGGTGTGGTCTTGCTATGTTGCCCAGCCTGGTGTCTAATTCCTGGCCACAAGTGACCCTCTGGCCTCAAGCATGCTGAGTAGCTGAGATTACAGGTGTGAGCACTGCCACCAGCCTAGCACTTCTTTTCATAAGAGAAATATCGTAAGGGATCACTGAGTGTTCTGAAAAGGACTTTGAATATCTCGAAAGAGAAAGAAATTAAGTTCCAAAGAATGAGTAGTATTTATGTGTTCCTTATAATTTTAACTGTGGGAGTAACATCACCGTATTTACTGTACCTAGTAGTGGAATCCCTAAGAATGACAATATAGCCATCTCTATGTTCTGCCCTTGTCGTCTTAATGAGAGATGTCTCTGTGATGACAATTGCTCATGAAGTGGCAAAACTATAAGGAAATAGAGAGGAATATGTATTTAAAAAAAAATTATTTGGACAGTGTTGTCTTGAAAGAGGCTATTTTCTCTACCAGAAATGTGGTAACAAATAGGGTGACACCCATCAAATGGTTGTCAGAGGACACAGATACCGTTTTGGAGAGACAAGTAGCTTTAATCTGGATCTGCCAGGAACTGTGGTTCAAAAGTAATACTGTAGCTACTCTGCAGTTCCAATGGGGATTTTCCTTGTGCTTTTTGGGTAATCCCTGAGGTGGCTGTTTTTCTGTCATGTGACTTGAATTCAACAGTCAAATAATATGGAATTAAGCATACATTTTTCTTTGTTGTGAAATCTGGGTGAGAAATGAACGCTTATGTGTAACTGGGCTAGCAAATATTTGTGTTTTTTAAAAAAATTATTTTAAATGATTACATGGAAAAAATTGAAACCACAAGATCTTGTGGAGATTAATTAGCCTAAAATAGAAAAATCAATCAAAAAATCGACCAACCAACCTAGGATTTGAAAATCAAGTAGGAAACTGGCCAGAACATTAAAAAATAACAACATACCATTGAATGAAACTGAAAGTATATAGTTTGTAAATTACCCTTACTTGAATTTCAAAAGATTATGAAAATTTTAAAGCAGTTTTTTCTATAAAAGATTTGTGGTCTGGAAAATGCAACGGATTATTTTTAATCCTCTCTAATCCTGTTATTTTAATGAAAATACAAAATATTCATATAGCTTCAAATTATTAGTTTCTCATCATAATTTTTCAAATTATTGAGTAGGTAAATGGAATTACTTGTATTGTGTTTTCTGTTGTGCTTCCTGGGTTTTGTTGTTGTTGTTGTTATTGTTATTTTGGTTTTGCTTGTTTGTTTGGATATACACTACACTCTGTTTTACCCTGTTTCTACTTTTTGGATTCTTCTTTGTAGAGATCATCATAAGTTTGGACTGTATTCTTTTGTGTCAATAATAAGCAATTGTATAATGACCTTCAAAAACTCTTACTATATCTAGGTTACAATGGCTATAAACTAAAATAAGACCTGTTTTTACCTAGTTTTAAAAGTTTTCTTTGTTTTTCTATGACAATGACTCAATTTAGTAGTAAGTAAAATTTACCTCTTCTAACAAAGTAACATTAGCATTAAGTAACATTGCTTTAAATGGCTAAAGTATAAAAGGCATTTCTCTGATTTTTTTTTAACAGGTGATGCAGAAGATGGGGAAGAATATGATGACCCTTTTGCTGGGCCTCCAGACACTATTTCATTAGCCTCAGAACGATACGATAAAGACGATGAAACCCCCTCTGATGGTATGTGACATTTTCCCACATAACTGTGACACTCACACAAAACAATGCTATGTATATAGGTGGTAGTTTTATGAGAAAGCAGATGAACATAGAGGCTTCGGTTAACTTACCTTTACCAAAACCTTCTAAGGAACAGAAGAGCTCTCTCTAGTGGTTCTAGTAAGGTTTTCCTAAGTATGTAATGGCTTTTCTTGAAAATGTTCTTTACTAAAATTTTTGAGAGAGTGCCTGTATCATCATATGAATATTATTAGTAACAGTTTGTTAGTTAATTTAATATTATCAGATTCTTGCTTAATTTTATTGTGCTACTTAAAGGCTTATTGTATTATTTATTTTATAAATAATAAAAAAGATTTTTGATCTATTTTTTTCTGAAAACTTTATACAAAATGAGTTAATACAATATTAAGTTAATTTTCTGACATAGCCTCTTCACATTGAGACAGGTTTTTATAAAATGCTTCTTTTAATACACATTTTCATTTTTATGATTGTCACTTAAAAGTGCCCCATATTATGCAGTAATATTGCAATGTTTGTTGACTGAATTAGTAATAAATTTATCTCTTAGTAATTTCTAAAAGCTATTGAATGTTGCCAAAGTTATGAAACTTGTTTTTAGTGTAGTATGTACTTTCTCTGTTATAGCCATTGAGTATATCTCCATTATAGAAACCTTATAAGGGTAATATATAGTTATAAATTAAGACTGTGTATCGATAAATTAGTCATGCATGTTAATTTGTAGCACTCAAAGTTTCACATAGACATAGAAATGAATAATACCTTCTGCCACTATGTGACGATCAAACTGTGCAGTTCCATCTCTAAATACAATTGCTGAATGAAAATATGCTTCCTGCAACAGAACACTTCACATTTTATGTTATCCAGATTATTCCCTTTGGAAACATAAATTGCTTTTATGAGGTATAAAATTATGTCTATTGCAGAACGGGGATAAGTCAAGTACATGCATAAGTGATAAACATTCTAACCACTGATTCAGTACAAAACAATCTTTTTTTATATCCAGAACTTTGTACAAAGTGTAGCAATAATAGTCATATCTATTTTGTGTTGAATGTTATGCTTTGGCAAACATTTAATTTCTTTTTTTAAAGGGAGGGATTTTTTTTGCTGTTATATTCACTTTCTATTTTTTAAAGAGATAATCATTTCTTTTCTCTTCACCAAAACCTCATCTTCAAAAAGCATTTCTACTAGAAAATGTTTTATAATTAAATAAATAATATTTTCAGGCAAAACAATGAATTGTTATTTAAGTGGTACTATTTTTCAGACGCATTGCAATTGCTTTATTTCTCTGTAAAATGCTGGTGTATATAAATATGTGTGTGTATACACACAAACACAGACAGAATATTTATACTAAGAGAGACATACGCAGAATATATTCATAGACTGTATATACATAGTTTCTTAAAATAGCGTAAATATTTTGATATTCAGGGGAGTGCTATGTGTATTCTTGAAAAATTTGCAACCTAAAAAGAAATTCAACAATTAAATATCTATGAGAGCCAGAAATCCTCTAGTAGCTTGTTAGAAAAAATAAATTATTATTAAATTATAGTGCATTTACATTATTGTGTTTTCTTTTTAAGAGTAAATAATTTATCATATATTTTTATAACCAAATATTCAGGAAATACACTAAAAGATTTGTTAAAAGGTTGTTTTATTGATTTTAAATATTATTTAATAACATTTATATGTAACATCAAATTTTTTGTTAATAGTGCCTACTCTTTAGTGTTTAAGCAATTCTTGAGTAGATTAAAACTAACCTGTAGTATTACTCATTTTTGATATATAAATAATACTATTTTTGATACTTTCACATTTTCTTTTAAGAATATCATTATTAAAATTCATTTTTAAACTACTACTTGGACATTTAATATTCACTGTAAAATATCATCTCAATGTATCAGTCTTTCTCCCTTCAACATAGATTTTGTGTGTGTTCTCTTTCCTTTGATGAATAAATTTCCTTCATCATGTGACCTCAGTCTAATAATGTGTTAATTCTAAAAAAGATAATGCATTTAATGATAAGCATAACCAAATTAGCACAGGTCACCAAACGGCCTTTTGTCAAATCAGATTGTTGTTTTGTCCTTTTGACTTTTACCTTATGGTAGGCACTAACAAAGTATCTGAACTTTGATGGGCTATAAACTCTAAACATGATATGTATTTTTCATAATGCTAATGTAATTTTCAAGGTACCAAAAAGGTCAAACCTGCACATCTCTATGTGCATTCTAAGTCTGTCTTTTGCTTTAATATTTCTTTTTCTCTGTTCCTGTGGTTCAAAAGTTCACTCAGTTCCCAAATGGCCACCTAATTTTCCAGTTATTCCCTCAAGCCATATGTGTTTTGGTTTCTTTATGGTTTATTAGGTACTGTAGGAAAGTAGCATAAGTTATATCTTCTAATGAAATTCAAGCACACTTCAGTGATGCTTCGACTTGATTGCTAGTAGCAATTAAATCACAGCCAAGAAGAATAATGTATAATCTCACAAGGTCCAGGCACCATATAGAAATCGAATGGGGATGAAAACAGCAAAAAGAAAGTTTCCAAACCCTGCCAGGTATGTTGTTTTCAGCCTGCCTTTTTTTTTTTTTTTTTTTAATTGGCCAACTGCCTGATTGATAGCAAAATCATAACTTGCTGCATGCTAACAGGCAGAGTTCACTTGTAGGTTATTGTGAGCTGATAAAGGGTTAGATGCAGTTTTGATTTTCGCATTGGACCTTGGTACACCAGATTAATGGAATTTCAATGAGAGACTAGAGTAGCCACAGCTTTGTCAGAGAAACAGATGGAGATTCTATAGTCATGTCTACTCATTAATACTAGTTGCCTGAAAGGTATGCTGCTTCTCTATACAAAAGAGTTGATATAATTGATTTTTGAGTTGTACATTGGAAAAAAGTACCTTATTGATGACTAGAATTGTAACATAGATGGTGACAGATTTTTGTATAGCTCGTAGCATAAAAATATTGTACTTTGTAAATTTTTGTTTTCCCTCTTTGGAAATGCTTCTTATGTTTTATATTTTTTGAGAAGAACTGCATTTTGAGACCAATAGCAAAAAAAGAGAGAATGACATGCCAAATTACCTTTTTAGGAAAAAGAATAAGAATCTATATTTTATTTATAAATGATTGCATGACTGCTGTTAGAGTTTAATTTTGATATTCTATTTAGAAGAAAGTATACTTATTAGGAGTTTCATTTTATTAGTTTATGCTTGATTTTTTTCTGGAAAACAAAAAAACAAATCATAATAGTTTCTAGACTATTGTATGTCACCGTTAGAAGTTTTATGCTATCATGTGGCCGGATATATTGGAGTGTCAATATAAATGGTGCATGTCAGTAATCAGATAAAGTTAGAGATAATGAGATTTACAACCTTAAAGAATATCCCTTTCTGTACACGTTAAAATGCTTAGGCACTAAGGTGAGTAGATACAGAGTAGACTTTAGACACTATATAATTACTTGGGTTTCCATTTTTCTATTCTGAAATCATTTTTCATTCATTTTTGTCATTTGTGAAAGAAAGCTTCTAACTATATAGCACTGTGGAAAGTCCCTAAGGTAAGGTTTTGAAAGGATTCAGTGAGCTAGAAGACATATATTGGCTCTGCCCGTCAATGATAGGTCGAAGGATCCCAATAGATGTTTGTTACAAATCTGATTCAGTCCTAGACCATAATCACTTTGTGGATAAAAATCTGGAACCTCTAGGGTATGAATACAGGTAGGCTAAAATGAAGCTGAAAATATAAAACAGTCATTTATTGTCCTGGTGTCTTTCTAACTAAAAATTTCTGAATAAACTAGGTTACTGAAAGGCTGTGGGCATTTCAAGGACATAGGTTTGTATGAAGAAATTTTTTTTAGGAATGAAACTATTTTTTAAATCTCAGGGATTAAGAAAAAGGCTGAACTGTTTTTATCATGATTTATAATATTAAAAAGATTTTTTGGTATACCTTTCTTTACAAAAATCCAATGAACAAAAATTTGGATTAATAAAGCATATAAATCATTTTTTCCAACAGATTTCTTTAGAAAGATTGTCTCCAGGATGCCTATAAATAATTAGCTCTTAGAAAGTGTCTAAAACAGGCTTAGATATAAACCTATCCATGTGCACACACATAAATTTAATGTACCAAACTTTTGAGGAAGTCTTTTTGTGTGTAAAATTAGGTGTAGCACTAATCAGTTCTTACAAAAGCCATGAAATAGATGTTTTACTTTTCTCTGATATGAGTAGAGTATGAAACAATGTTTAAAACTAGATAAAAAGGTTTTTTTCAAGAACTTAGCATTTAGGGTAAGTATGAAACAATGTTTAAAACTAGAAAAACAATTTTTCAATAACTTAGCATTTAGGGTGGTTTTTTTTTTTTCACCTACTATCATATTTTTGACACCTAAAATTACCTTTGTATTTTGTTCTGAAAAATGTAATTAGTTTTCTTGCACATATTTTTGCATATATAACATGCATTAACATTGCACTTTCGTTTTTAAAATTTTTGGGTTATCTTAATATGCCAAATTGCTAGCTTATATATGTTTTAGCAGTTTAATAACAATGATTCTTTTAGTCATTGTGCTATGTGTGTAGCACAGGGATTATAGTTGAGGAAATGACAGAAAGTAGAGGACATATTTTTAATCCTCAAGTTATATATTGTGCAATTGGGGATGTAAAGTACACAGATGTAAAATATTTTTGTGATACAAAGGTATATATTAGTAAATAAAACACATAGTCATTGAGAATTATCTTTCTAAGTTTTTATGCTATTGATCAGGAAAATTCATCAGAATAAAACAGAGTGGACAGATGATACTATAACAAAGTGAGCTAGATACGAAAGATTGCAAAGGTTAAATAAAACTCAACATTATGAAAAATAATGCGTCTTTAATTCAGC